TATAAGCACATTAGCAATGTTACACAAGACAGTAAGCACTGTACAGTAACACAGCCTTAAGTTTTTTGGAAATAACATCCAGATCAAAGAAAACACGGAAACATTTCCCCTCCTCTTTGCCTCCCCAGAAGGGGATTCAACAAGAAAAGAATTAGGAGACAACTTAAGTGAACAACACTAATTTTATTTGTAAATGCTACAATACAGCCACCATAAAACTTAAAAGAGCTGAACGTAAGACTTGCATGGCTTTTTTAAAAAATTAGGTATTTTATTATTTGTTTAGGCCTAATACTTCCCATTCACTGTTTGGCACAAAGATAACTAAAAGGCTTCACTGTAGATCTGTAATTAAAGAAATCTGTCTTAAGAAAAAGAAATAGCCCACATTTGGTTTATCTAGTAAGCAAAGGTAATACACAGCTGTGAATTTTTTTGCTCAAATACTGAATTCTTCTGGAAAAGGCTTCCTTGCGCTTTGGTTAAGAACTTAAAAATCAAAAGGCTAAGCAGGATCCTTTTGAAGAAATACATTCTTGGAAATGCATACAGTTTTGTGTGCCACATCCCTCTGATAGAAGGCACAATTAATGAAAAGAACATTCATGAAATAAAACAGAAACCACTTCAGAAAGGCTAACAGTGACACATGGTGGATTTTTTTTTTTAATCTAGGCAAGACCTGTTCTTATTTTCTAACACCAACACTCTTCCCCCAGTCCATAACCTAACTTCAGTATTCATAAAATTAAAACTCTTTCAAGTATGAACAGTTGTAAGAGGAAAACATAAGCCAACAGAGTTTTCTACTGGTGGAGTTGCTTTCAAAACTACATTTAAGAGTAGTCACTATTCCTCAAGAACCCACGTGTCAAAAACAAGCAAATGATTACACGCAAATTTTTTTTAAGTGTCATTCTCCCTGCATACTGGAGGTCAGGCAAACAAAGCCGTATGTGGCAGTAAAATGGATCATTTTGTCTAAAGTGCTTGATGAAAGCAGGAAAGCTATAAAAATGATAAATTAGTGAAACCAGAGGTGTAAGGGTTACATTTATCATACAGACCAAGATAAATTGGAGCATTTTCACATTTTCTTGTTCTATTAGACAAGATGCAGCAACGAGATCCTTCACAGTGAAGAGCTCCTTTAAAGTGTATATAGTTCATAACACATTTTTTCTTATATTTCTGGGACATGAAGTAATTTGAAGTAAGTCAGGAACAGTATTTCAAAAAAGAAAGTATTATTGTAGCTAAGAAATGAAGATTACATAGGAAGATTTAGTCATTCAAAAAAAATTCTTTGGGAATTGCTATTTAATACTTTCAATAACTTTCAATGCCCTGATACTATATAATTTACAGTAGAAATGCAAGAGCCTTTGGAACATAGCAATGCTTGGTTGGTTCTGTGCATGTCTTCTCTTATGACATCATCTTTTTCTTACATTCCACTGAGCAGAAAACCATCCCTTCCACAGGTATGAACTTCTGGTCAATTAGACACTTGCTGCAACAGGAACACAGGAAGCATTCCTGAGTAGCATGCCAGTTGAAGTTGTTGTATGTCACACGCTGAACTTCTGGATCTATAGCATTATGACAGCCTTGGCAGATCTGTTTAGAAATAAAACAACACTTAAATGAAGCATAGATATGCTCTCTACAAGTCCAATAAAAGCTAGAATTCTTTAATGTTTCTGGGAAAGTGAAGTGTTAAAAGAAGCCTTTTAAATAAGTCTCCAGCTTTTGATTTTTATCTTATTTTTAAAGCAGCACTCCGATTAGAATTCAGTTGAGGACACAAAATAATAAAATGGAAACAAAAAATTATTTGCTGCTGGGACTAAACTTAGACAGTTAGGATGGCTAGGCTTTCCCAATATCCAAATAATCATAAAATTCTGTTATGTCAAGGAGCACAGATCTTTATATATTAATCTATACATCTGAAGAGATTAGTTACAAATCTTCCTATGCATTGACAGCTGTACAGCAATGCCTAATAATTAAATGCTATTAGAAAGTCTTGGATTTTATTCATCTTAATCTGGTTGGTCACAAATTATCATTCAGATCAAGGAAGTTAATGTTTTAAGACAAAAAAAAAAAAAAAGCAGCCTCTCAAAAAGACAATTCCTCATACCTATCTCAGATGATTATTAACTGCCAGCTAGAGATAATAGTTTTTCTCTCCATTCACTATATAAACAGTCTAATGCACATTAGGCTGAACTCCCAACTAGCACCTACTCCACTGATATGACACGAATGGACCATCATCTCAGGTTAGTTTCCATCATAATCATGAATCGAGAACCATCATTTTTTTCCAGACTTCTAGCTTTATCCTGTCATTCACTCTCCTTTATATCTCATGTGGTTAGAAATACAAAGAAAAAGTACCTAGATTGCAGTTGCCACTACAGGCTTTTACCAGATCAGCTGAAGTTGATTCCCACCAGTCTCAATGAAATACAATTGACAAGAACCAAATATTTAGCAGCATCACTTATCTCTACCTACTCTGCTCCTTCTACTACGAAGTCCTGCTTCACCACTAGCTAAGATCAAGGTATTTTTCCATTAACTTTCCTCCCATGGCAGTGGCTTTTAAATAAGTTTATAAATTGACAAAATATTTGCCTGATTTTAAGTTGTGTGGTGGCAGTGTGGTTTTTTTTTTTGGTTTTTTTTTTTTTTTTTTTTTTGGGGGGGGGGACACACAGGTTTGTTCTTTCTTTCTTTTTTTTTATTTTTACAAAGGGGAGAAAGATCACTGACTCAAGCCTAAACATACATTCAATTTATTCTCTTCAGATATTCCCATGCTGGGAAAAAGTAAGAATTTCAAGCTCCATAGATCTATGTTCCCTTCTTTCTCAGCACTAAGATGTCAGCAACGACCTTACCTCAGCATGGTTCTTCACGTAGCAGGATTTGCAGACTGGTTTCTCATTCACCACTACATAGATCTCCCCAGCCAAAACACAGTCACAATCAAAACAGCAGAAGTGCTTCAGATGCCAGTTTTGACCTTCCGCCTGAGTATATTCATTGCTGAATATCAGCTATGAGGAAGACATAAACAAATGCATTCATTTGAACAGGATCTCTTTTACTATATCCAGCCTCAGGATGTTTTGTAATTTTCAAGGAACTCCCGGTGGTTCCAGCATTGTTTGACCGTTTCCCAAAAGCCTCCGTGCTGTTCACTAAGAGCCTGCAGATGCCAGAGGCCCCAGCCAGACTGTTCCCCATGTGCTGCCCGGAGTAGGTTCGCCCCCTAGTGCCCCTCATGAGTAAAGAACTGCACAACTGGGACTTGCTGGAAGCGTTTGCCCTCACATAACAATGTCCCTGTAGACTGTGCAAAATCCCCACCAAATCCAAAGCAAACTATGGATCTTCCTAAACATGCAGTATCCATATCAATTTTGGTTCTTTGCAACTACTATCAGCTAAAGCTAGTGAAGGTATATCCTCTGCCTGCACTCAAGTGTTTCACTAAAAATATTAACCACTTCCCAGAGGAACAAACTTGTACCCTACAAGAACAGACTAGAATATTTCCTACCTCATCACATCCAGCACAGCGGGGTTTTTCACTATCACAATAATGTCTTCCACAGTACAGGTTGCCATTCTTCCAGAAATAGATCATGTCTACTAGAAGTTCACTGCAGGTGCAACACACAAAACAAGCCGGGTGCCACAATTTGTCATATCCAGCACGTTCTGCATAGACAGCTGGGTCGCCTTCTTTCATGTTCAGTTTGCAGTGATAGCAGGACTGGAAAGAGGTATTAATTATTAAGAGAGGTTTATTAAGAGGTATTAACTAACCAAGTTAATTATGCCTTTGAGAGGTACATTTATAGAAATTACATATTATCAATATATTTAGTAAACTCCACCTTCCCAGACTGAAACTAAAGTATTAGTTTACTCCCATGATCAGACAGTAGTGGTACAGGATGCCATATTTCAGGTTTAACTGAGCAATTCAAGATGATGCACATTCTACTGGCATAGCATTAGTACTGCTTAAAAGGATTATTGTATTTTGCCAAATTCATATTCTGCAATTACAGTCCAGTGTCTAAAAAAAAAACCAACAGACAATTAAAATTCATGTTATGCTCTATTAGTCTTACATATTCAAGAAGAAGGAGAGAATAATGAGCCTCCATCAAAGTTAACCAACTAGACCACATAATAAGAAAATGGCTGTACTTCTATATCACGAGAAGATCGAGCCATATCTGTATCACTGGTGAGGAAAAAAACCTGAGTATTTCAAACAAAGCTGTGTTCTAGGGATGCTAGTCACTCATGGCTGTTGTCCAACAGTCTGTGATTAACAATCTTAGGACAGGGAGAGTGATTGAGCAAAAGGGACTACAAAGTGTATGAGCACAGCTACACTACAAATAGTTCCAAAGAGTCTGTAGTCAGTCTTCTGCTCTATACCTGGTTACAGAGAAGGTTTTGTCATCAAGTCAAAAAACACAGTAATTTACGTTACTGAACCCAAATTTTTTTTTATCTACAGTTTAATCACCAGTTTGGCATTTCCTGCACTCCAGCTGGTCTGTGGACTGGGCTGAACATCCTGGGAAGGTTTTCCTCTATGATTCACATCATGACAAGCCCAGCTACAAACTGCTTTGTGTGTGCATATAAAAATAAAATAGATATAAAGTGCCTTGGCTGTAAGGCATATTGATCAGATCTGAGACAGTTTTAAAACATACATAGAAAGACAACAAAAGGGGAGGAAAAACAACTTGGAACAGAATGTATGGAAACTAATGAAAGTGTAAATATATGCACATAAAGCTTTGCAACTTTTCTTTCTTTAGACCTCATACTGCAAAAGAAATCAATTGCAAGGTTAAGTAGCAGCATAGACCCAGACGAGGGCAACATGATTCATTAGCCTACCATTTACAACATCTCCAGCCTAAGTGGTTAAAAAGGTACATAAAGATTTCCTTCTTTACAACATGAAAATATGCTGAATATCTATTTTCCTTTTATTCAGCTTCCAGTCACGGTGAAAAATTTATTTTTTTTTTTTTTAACACAGAGACAGGTATATTTACATTAATAGTGGAGACCTGGTTGTGAGTGGTTTATTGTTGTTTTTCGCTCTTTATTAGGTTTCACAGAACTTCAATCTATTCCTGTAGTGAAAATAAATTTTCCACAGCAACAGGAATACCTGCTTTCAGACTCTGTCTGAAAGACAGCATACAAGAAAACTGGATGAGCAAAGATGCAGAACCAACCAAAAAAAGTATAGACAAAGATGGCACTTCTTCTGCTAAGTATTTAAGTGCTCTTCTTTGTATTGATTTATTTTGAATTGTTAAAAAGAAGTTAAGATAATGCTAAGGTATATAGCTGAAATGAAGTCTCATTGCAGAAATCAGACCCCTTCCCCAAATACTTAAAAATACCATATCTGAATCCTGATTATTCAGCTCAGTGTAAACTCAGTACCTAACAACAAATAAGCAACTCAAATATTCACTTACACTATTAAACACTTCTAAGCCTCTTTCTAAATCATTGCCCACAGTGATAAGATATGCCTGGTTTAGACTGTAGGAAGAAAACTCAGGTGCTGGAGTAAAGAAAGTGTGGAAGTGATAAATAGGTGTAATGTAAAAACAAAGCACGTTTTGACACAATTACTCAAGAGGCCAAAGTGCCTCCTGCCATTGACTTAATGTAGTCCAAGGCAGTTGGTCTACAGGGTACAGTACAAAGTGTGTATTTTGGTAGGTCTTCCTTGAGGAGGTACATGAAGAATTGCTGTGGTGAAACTGAAGTAAGCCAAGTAGGAAAGGCTGATTTAAGACAAAATGACATTAACCTAATTAAGCCATGATAAAATAAACTTTTTAGGATCTTATATCCCCCGGAACACGATAATGGCAAGAAAAAAAGAATAATTAATTTTAGAAAATAGTTAGAGGTAGCCAAGTGGCACAGCTCAAGACTGATTAGGGCAAGTGTACATGTTCAAAGCTAAAACTTAAATGTTGATTTTGTGTTGCCCACCACAAGTCATATACTGTGTCAGTTTAAAAACAAACAACAACAACAAAAAAACCACACCAAAAAAAAGCATACCACACTCCCCAATAACATAAAAGCCATATTCTACAACCAGTGTCAACAAGCAAACCTTTTTCCTCTATTTAGAAATTGTATGTTCATTTTCTGTAAGTAACCTGCAGACAAATAACTTTGGGGATTCATACATATAATAGCAACATTTCTAAAAATCAAGTTACAGTAGCTTGTGATACACTTAAATCAATGTCTATTTCCACTAAACCGATTTAATGTTACTTCTGTAACATTACCCCTATTTTATATTTTTAATTGGTAGTTGAGACATGCACAGCAGAAATCAGCAAGTTACAAAAGAAATACTTGATTAAGGCTGTAGGTTTTCAAAATATCAGTGAAAACTGGATAATTTTGCATATCTTGATTTTTGCTGAACTATTACAAGGCAGAAATCAGATGCCAAAGAATAAAAATAGATAAGAAGATGGATCTGAATATGAAAAGAGGGTTAGTGAAAACTTGTTAGACATGAGACGGAGAGGTGTTACTTTATTATATTCCTTAGTTTCATTTAATTTCAAACACAATTTGTCAAGTTGGTAGTTTTGGTGCTCCTCCAAGAAAGAGAAGAAAACAGGCTTCTAAAATTAAACTAAACTCTTTAACAGGACAAGAATGTAGGAATTAGTCCGTTAAGACTACACCAGTTTTTTGATCATTATTCTGTAAAAGCCACACTACTATACTATCTCCAAGCTAACATGTTTTCGCATCAAGGATGAAAATGACACCTACGACGTTATTTGCTGCAATGCATTAAATACTGTCAAAAAACAGGGCTCTCTGCAGACACTCACAGCATTTTCCAATTCCCCTTCTTTCTTTCCCTCCCCAGATTTTCACTATTCCATGTTAACAAACAATTTAATTGGTTAAAATGACCAAATAGAGCACTCTGGTGATAATATACCTTCTTGCTTTATGTTTCCCTTCTTATACTTACATACTGAGATGCTTTCTGATCTGAGGACTTGTCCTCCATTGCTCCTACAACAGATGAGGTGCCTCTGTCACCATTGTTCAGGTTATCCTCGTCAGCAGCTCTCCCTTTCACATCACCAGGGAGTTTGACATCTCCTACGCCAAGTGCCTCGTTTTTGTACTTCTTCACAAATTGTTCCATCTGCTTAACCTCATTGGGGGAGAGCTCATGGCATTTTGAAGGATCTTGATCGTGAGCAGGCAGCTGCTTAGCCAACTGCTTCTTCCTGTACTGTGCGCCTTCTGAGCCAGCAACAGGCTGCTTCTCCTTTGGTAGCATCTGCATGTACTGTCTAGCCTGAATAAAGAAGGAATTAGATATCAGCGCTTCAACTACTGACCCATTCTCTTAAGCAAACACCCAACTAAAATAATCTTTACTGTTGTTAGGGACGGTCAGATTTGTCAAAAACAAAGTTCTTTCCATAAACATTAAACTCCAGAAACACTGTAACGCAGATGCATTAATTCATTTCTTCCCAGAGCAAGACAAAGGCTTCCTTTTAAGCTTTTTATAACATACAGAAAAGAGTTATTATTTCTCAGAGTAAGTAACATTTACACAGCACCTTGTCTCTACCTATAACTGCTGATCATCAGTATAGTCTTAGAAAAACAGAATCTGAAATAGTCTGCCTGAGGCATACAGACCATTTTAAAAACAACTCTTGCTAAATAAAGGTAAAAAACCTCCAACCCTCTAGTTTTAATAAAGCAATGACAAGCTTAAAAAAAATAAAAAATAGAAGAGTAGTAACTGAAAGTTAAGTAATAGTCAATTTAGATGCACAAGGTTTGATTAATTCACTGAAAAGGGGTAGGTCAGAGATAATGTGATTCTGGCACAGATCACACAATACTGCAGTACAATAAATTAACAATCAAAGTTTGAAAAGTGAAGCAAAATCCTCAGAAGGCTATCTACCATCTCATCTACTTCAGCTGAAAATATACTGGAAGAGAGTTGCTCTTTCAGATGTCAACACTGACCTCGTTCTTACCATATACAGTAAAAGCTATAAGCAAGACTAAGTGTTCCCCTTAACTTTAAACAATGACATAAATTGATGGGTTGGTTTTGGTGTTGGGGTTTTTTCAGTGGTTTTTTTCCTTTTTTTTTTTTTTTGTTTTTGTTTTGGGGGGTTTTGTTTGGTTGGTTTTGGGTTTTTTGTTTTGTTTTTTACTTTAAGCCCACACTCCATGCAAATTTTTTCAAGTTTATCAAAAAAAAAGGAAGTTAGAGAAATTGGGGCTCCAGGGACTTAGAGTTATCTGCTATTAAAAACCATCTCATCTCCCCAGATTTTAAGAACTTCCACATACAAACAGCCACGAATCAAGATGACAGAGGCAAGACTCATTAAACAGGCACCATATTTTCAGTTTTGAAGAGGAAGAGAAGAAGATGATAAGTAGCAAAGTTATCCTTCCAGTAAGCTCTACTACTTTATTTCCCATGAACTCCTGCCTTGAACATGAAAAAAAGCAAGTTGGACTTACAAGTGTCTGATTCTGAACAGGAGGAGCCCACTCATAAGTCACGGTATTGATGGATATGTTCTTCTTGGCTGGCACTGGATTGGTCAGTATCATTACATTGCGCTTATAAACAGGATTGCCATCACTCTTCAGCTTTGCAATAAGGGTCGTGTATTTTGTATCTTCAAAGAGTTTCCCCACTTTCCGATCTTCCTCATTGCTTGAGAGGATATCGTGCTCTTCCTGGCCACATTTGCAGTTGCGGCATATTTTTCTGAAATGGAAACAGAAAGAAAATTACCGTCTCAATCAAAGTGACATTTCACACCAGCTGTGTGTGTAGTAACATTACCCGACCTCTTTTTTCCAGTGCTTTGATTAGGAAATACTGTTTCCTAAAAAAATCAGGAAGCTTTTTACAAGTTATTCCATAACATCCTAAACACCTCTTTATTTCTCCTATTGTTTTAGGTACATTGTTTACAGATATTGTTATCAGACAGGTATCAGTCAACTACATTAATGCATTTTGAATATGATGCCATATCATTCCTTCACTTACATCTCAACACTGATCACACACATACATGTACCTTATCAGCCACCTATCAGATTTATTTTAAAGTAACTTCATTCATCTACACGAGTCCCTCAGCAATCACTTGACCATTTGGGCTTTTGTTTTTCAGTTGCTCTTTATACACTCAGGTTACATGCACTGGTACTATTTTGTTCATATGCATTTGACTGTATGCATGATATTTGGCTACCACAGAGTTGCTATCACATGGAAACAAGTATTCCTTAGAAAGGAAAAAAAGGGCATATATCCATATATACAGTGTAACTACACCAAGTTCTGTTCAAAGCACAGCATTTAGAGAGAAGATGAAAGGAAAGTCTAAGGCTTATATGGACAAAGCCTTTCAAACAGCTCTGAATCAAGTCAGAAGTGCTCTGGCACACACTGTAGAGAGAATTTTTACAGATAACAGCCTTAAAAGGTAGAAACATATCTACTTACTTAGATATAAATGGTATTCTTTTATATACAAGACATTTCAACTGCTTTGGCTAAGGGATATGAGAAAGTAATTTATTACCTTAAGCATAATTAAACAATTCACATATAATGAACAGAACCTTGGATTAGACAAGCTGGTTTATTATTTATTAATGGTTTCCCCAGAACTTCAGTTCAAAGCAGTCAGCCACAGTATACAGAAACTAGTGAAGCTGGACGTTAACTAAAAGTTCTTATAATAGACTAAGAAAACAGATCAACCTTCTGGTTCTCTGGAGTTTAAAGAAGAATAAGCAATATTTTACCCCATTAGTTATCCTTCCAGCATTAACTACCACGTATAAATTGCTTTTCAATCCTGCTTACCAAAACCCACTGAACTCTAACCTTGTTCTACAGTCTTTAAAAGCAAGTTAGGTGCCTTAAGATAACATATGTCACAGGTACAAGACAAGAACATGCCACTGACCACAGTAGGCCTCTGAGGGGATAAGAAAGGAAGGAAGAAGGATGACCTGAGTGTAGCTGGTCATATGAAGTGATGTACAGCCAACCCCAAACATATGCCCTCCATATGTACACCAGTTTATGATGTGGGGTACTACTAGTTCAGTGTGCGGTGGATGTTGTCCTGGTCATGGTTATACAGCAACCACAAATTACGGTAACAAGTTATAAATCCAACTACAAACAAAAATAACAGCTAACTGCAATAAAAATGAACCACTCCACTCTAATAACATGAAAAATAAGGTTGTTAAGCAGAAAGGACTTCACTTTGCAACAGAAATACCTAAAGAGATCAATAATTGGCTGTCTGACAGTTTCCTTAATTTCCACAACAGAAAAGATGCACAGAATGTCAAAGCTGATACTGACCTGAATAGCTACTAAACACTAAGTACTTTGTAATCTCCCAGCTTACCAAAACATTCAAACATGAACCAGCATAGCCCGTTAAGCATAAGAGCTGTACTGTGCATTTCAAGCACTCGAAATGAAGTTTTGCAAGATCTTCAGCATCAGTCTACATGAGCCCTTTACATAACTAATGCCTAGAGATTGTTTAATAAACTAATAAAGAAATTCATATTCACTTTGCTCATCTTTTAAGGCATGCACGTGATTATACCTTATTACTAACTCATATCTTCTTTGAGATCTAATACAAGGTGACAGAATCAGACCTTGTTTTTCAAAAATTTAGTGATTATTACATCATGATCATCATGCAGCTTTGTGCCTCACACCACACATGCAGATGGAATTAAAGCAGTTAGTCCATCTGAACAACACCTTATCAGATATTTTGCTTAGTTTTTCCACTTAAAACTTTTAACGATAGTAAGCCTCAGTTTTATTCTTGCCTCTTGACAGGATGTGATCTAATAACACTGATGAACAAAAAAGATATTCTCAGGTAACCTGCACAGACTCACACAAGTAAAGTATCATCATGCTGTCCAGAACTGCTCTGCTTGCAGGGCAAACCTCAGTAAGAACAGTTCATATTGTTTTATTGCCTGTGCAGTCACAACTGCAATGTGACAGGCTGTGCAGCTCTCCCTATCTGTAAAGCATCCAACTACAAAGAAGCAACGTTGACAGCCTGCAGTGACCAGACCACCCCTCACAAGCTGTGGTGGAATTCTTCCCAAGACTTTCACATGTGCTGGAGAAGCCACAAGGGCACCTTATTTTTTGCTCACATTATGTCATGAAATTGCATATCTTTTTCTAATAGCATTCTTTCAGAATGCAGAACAGCTCAGAGATCCAGTTTCTCTTTTCAACTATATGAACACCCAGACTCAATAATTGCTCTTACCATTCTCTGTCCCACCTTAAAGGCTTAATATGTTTCAGTAATCTCAGTAGCTGTGAGAGATTTTTTTTTCTGTTTTGCTCTTAAACAGGTAGTTGCAAAGAAGTGAAAGCATACAATTTGTACTCAGGTCCTTCCTAGGACCCAGTGTGAAAACTGGCATGGAACTACTGTGCTTGCACTGAAAATAACAAGATACTCACTAATCTTCCCCACCCCTGCACCTACCGAAATTAAGAATTTGAGTGTGTACCTCTCAGTACAATGCCATCTCCTTCCTCTTTCAAGGCTAAGGGAATGACTCTTTGCCTACATAGAGTCTGGAGGAAGCTGTTACACAGGCTCTGTTACAATATTACAAGTGTAATGGCTTTCGCATTAGAACTTGTGGACAATTAAACCTCCAAATGCAGGAAAAGACAATCTAGAAATAATGTCGAGAATGCTAAGTCACAACTGATGTCAGCATATCTCAGTAAGTCAAAGGAAAATCCCCTAGGCTGTTGCCATTTCCTGTGCTACGCAAGGCTCCCTTGGATCTCAGTCACAAGAATACGTCCATAAAACTGCTAACAGCCACAGAAAGGTCTCCTGCCCAGACCAATACTCCCTCCTCTGGAGTAATTTGCAGTATTAAAAGACACATAGTTGACATTTACACACATGTAGCTGACATTTACTCTTCCTGAATAGTACTGTTTACAATTCAGTCCTACCTTCTTCCACTCGGTTGCCACATCAGAATCCTGCTCATTGTCACTCACAGTCCCCTCTGCAGTAGGGATATGGCCAATTACTTCTCTTTAGAACAGACAGACTGGTAATTTCTTCAACTGGGATGCAACTATCTCACTGAAGTGACCCCATGCCATTATCTCAAACTTACACTTCACAAGTCTGTCTGATAATTGATACTTCATCTTCGGCGTTAACAAGTTAACATCTCAAATGTGCCAGAAAAAAAACCAGTTGCTGTTATATACACAAACATAAACATACATAAACACACATGTATGTATAGGCAACTTTATCTCCTTTGACTCTTATCACGACAACAGGCAGTGAAAATTTCCTGTTCTCTCCATCTGTACTGTTGAAAACATTTTCCCTCTACCTGAGGGCATTCAGCAAGATCCCTACTGAAAGAGATATTAGGGACTCTTTCGCAGCTCTCCAGACCTCATAGCAGAAATGTTCCTCCACACAAATCCCAACAATTTGGGAAGGTCTTCCCATTCAAAACATGCAAGATTGTGAAGTTTCCTCCTTATCTGTGGAATTAAAAGTTGCGTATCTGTAAAATAGAGATCTAGTAGATAGTGCCTTGCCCCCAGGTCTTGAGTCAGTAGAGAGATGCAAGAAAGGTATACAGATTCCATCCTCTCCCTCAAGTGGTGGATTCCTGTGTCCCCGATGTCTGTTGACAGCAAGGATCCAAGACTTCCAGTCCCTTCTCCAGAACCAGATGTCAACCATCCTCCTGCTTTCCTATGTTTTGGTGCATGGAGAGGAAAAAATCATTCTGACCATGATCCTTCCTATGCTAGCTCCTAGTGACAGGAGGTAGCAGATGCAAGCACAGAGAAACCCTCAACAAATACCTGGCAAGTCCTGAAGCTTGTGCCCTACACACAGAAAGAGTAACCTCTTCCTATCACAGAATGGGTATGGTTGGAAGGGACCACAGTGAGTCATCTGGTCCAACCTTCCTGCTCAAGCAGGGCCATTGCAGAGCACATGGCACAGGATTGCATCCAGGCAGTTCTTGAATATATCCCGTGTGGGAGACTCCACAGCCTCTCTGGGCAATCTATTCCAGTGCATGGTCACCTGCACAGTAAAGATGTTCTTCCTCATATTCAGGTGGAACTTCCTGTGCATCAGTTTCTGCCCACTGTCTCTTGTCCTATTGCTTTGCACCACTGAGAAGAGCCTGGCTCCATCCTCTTGACACTCCTCCTTTCATATACTTATAGACATTGATGAGGTCCCCTCTCAGTTGTCTCTTCTTGAGGGTAAACAGTCCCAGCTCCCCCAGCCTTTCCTTATAAGAGCTCCAGTCCTTTTAATCATATTTGTTGCCCTCCACAGGACCTGCTTCACAAGCTCCATGTCTTCTGTACTGAGGAACTCAGAGCTGGATACAGCACTCCTGATGTGGCCTCCTGATGTGTCCCTCCTGAGCAGAGGGACAGGATCACCTCCCTCAACCTGCTGGTCACGCTCTTCCTAATGCACCCCAGGATACCCTTTGGCCTTCTTGGTCACCAGGGCACACCGCTGGCTCATGGACAGCTTGCTGTCCACCAGGACCCACAGGTCCTTCTCTGCACAGCTGCTTTCCACCAGGTCGGTCCCCAGCCTGTATAGGCACCTGAAGTTATTCTTCCCCAGGTACAGGACCCTGCATTCGTCTTTGTTGAATTTCAGACAGTTCTTCTGTGCCCATTCCTCCAACATGTCAAGGTGCTTTTGAAGGGCTGCACAGAACTCTGGTTATCATCCACTCCTCCAGCTTCGTGTTGCCAGTGAACCTGCTGGGAGGTATCTGTCCTCATCTCATGATCTGATGTCATCTGCAGGCATCAAGTCTATAATTCTATGATTCCTTCTGTTATGTTTCCTTGCTATCAATGCAGCTATAGTAATTGCAAATGCTTTGAACTGCATCTCATACTTGCCTGTCAGTGGTAGTATCAGAGAATCTTAAAGTCAACCTAAAACTCTTCCCGCCTTCCAGGGATTTTATCTGTGCAGAGAAGTCAGATGCTGAAAAAGGTCATTCCGAAGCTTAAGATCCTTGTCCCCAGAAGCTTTTTCCTGTCTTGGCAAGCCACAGCAGAGACTATCATCACTGTCTGATATATACACGACCAAGATAAATCAGAACGTTCTCTCCCACTTTTAACAACTTATAACTCCTGCCCCATACTTCCCTCTAGTGGGAAATAGGTTCCCAAAGAGCAACATGTAACCGAGTAGCAGTCTTGCATCCAGTCTGCCCTGCTGCATGTGTGTGGAGGCTGCTTTGCAGTCTGAACTGAGTCTAAAACCAGAATTAAGAAAACCCTTCCTTGATGCTGCCTCTACACTTGGACAGAAGCATGATTCTGAGGACAATTTTGAAAGCAAAAGCTATGAGTTCACTAAGATAAAGCAGGTAATTTTTAATCACTCAGTTACATTGTAGACCCTGTCTTTTTCATGTTGTATTCAGCTCACAACACTGAGGCTGTCAGAATTTCAAAATTCAGGAAAAAAATTTACTAAAGGCTTTGTTTACCACCATGTTTATACTAGCCTCAATTTACAGTTCTGCACCTATAAAACCTTCACACAATAGTGTCTCAAAATTTACAGCACAAACTGTTACATAGCACTTGCCACCCTAGAAGAGATATTTTCCAAACACTTCCAATATAAAGAAGGGCGTAGCAACTCTGTAAAACTCTGCCACCAGACAGGTAAACTTAGATCTTTTTGGTGCTCTTTCCAATCTCACCCCCCAGAGGAAGAGCTGAGACTCTTTCATACAGAAATACGGAAAGAAATCACTTGTTAGCTCTTTGAAGAACACCATTTCCATGTATCAGGCCAAGGGCTGTGTGATGCGCTGAAGCTCCCTGGCTCCCTCCAGGAGAGGGCAGTGTCAGCCTTACACCGCCCGCAGCCGCTGCTGCCTCACTCACCGTGCTGCGTCAGCCTCCTAGGGAGATCACTGTCTTCCTAATGCCCGCAGAGTGCTGTGCTTTGGGTTTGTAGATAAAAGAGCCCAGATAGCACTTACTATTGTTGAGCACTTCTGGCACAAAGTCAAGGCTCCCTCGTTTTTTGACTCTACCCCTACCTCAGCAAGTGAAGATGCTGGGAAGGGGCACAGCTGATTCAAACTGGCCAGAGAAATGCTGAATACTATATGTCATGATCAGCAGGATGACAGAGGTAAAGGGTCAAGAAGGCAGGGTTTCTGAGTCTGAAAGTAGACACTGCATGGAGACTGGCTGGACATCAGTCTGCTGGTAGGTGGTGGCTGGTGATTACCTTGCTCACCCCCCGTTTCACCTATTAAACTAATGTGATTTCAACATATGAGTTCTTATTTTTGTTCTTGCTTCTTGGCCCCACACTGTGATGTGCAGGACAGGGAGCGAGCAGCTGTGTGGGTGCTTGGCTGCTGGCTGGCCTCAATCTCCACCCCGTTATTCCCCCAATGAGTGACAGTTTCTCTAACTACAATTCTTAATTCAACACTTGTGTTTTACAGATGAGTAACAGTAAAATTAGTGATTAAACTTGAACTGATTTTGATCATTCATGCTATAAAGACAATATTCTGTTTACTTGTGCTACAGTTTGTTTCTACTTCAGAGTTTCAAATTTTAAGGCTAATGACTAAGTGAAAAGGATCTTTCTGTTTCAAGTGGTGGACTCCCAAAATACCTGCATCATGCAAAGCATATTAATATCTTTTCCTTTAAAAACTGATTACATAAAACTGAATTAAGACATTCCGTCTCCAGTAGCGGCTCTGTTGGAGAAACAGCTGTTTTCTAACCCATTCTTGAATTGTCCCAATTGCTAACTTATCAACTGTTTCAGAGTTATGTGCCACATTTTTCTGACTCATAGATAAAGCTTCTCAGAATGCTTCCACCTACCTTATTTTATCTAGTCTATCCCATATAGATTCAATTTCTAAATTAAATCTTATCTAAATTGTCACTGTTTTTACATCTTCTTCCTTACTTGCTCTTTAGTCCACTGCTGTCTACACAGTCTTGCTTCCTAGGAGAGGCAGTGTTCTGATGAGCTATGAATTCAGGACCTAGCACAATAAGGCCTAACCACAGGAAGGTAGTGAAACACATATAAAGAGAAGCAGACACTTTCTAACTTGGCAATCATACTATTAGGTGATTAAATCACTTAAGCTATCTTATTTCTTTTTACACCAAAAATTCTTCCCTTTAAAAAAATAAGTTAGCAATTACAAAGTCTAACATTGAGAGTTAAGCAAAAGAAAAAAAGGGGGGGGGGAAATTTCACTGAACTAATCTTTCTCCTCCCCCACTTGTAATTTTCCCATCTATCATGGTGACTAGAAAGCAATAAAATTTCTCATCTAACCATGGATAAACACTATTTACTCCTGCATTTTTAATTCTCTTTTTTTGCATTACCTACGCACATTAAGTGTGTTCCCTTTTATTTTACTTGTACTTCTACACTAGTTCTTGCAGTGACTCAGTGCATATTGAAAAGGTATTCCATAAATTAATCGTGTCTTATCTTTAGATGATCACATTTACTTATTAGCGCACTACCACTTCTTGCTCTATATCATTATTTATAAGCTATTTCTATAGCTACATATTACAGATACATAATCAACAAGTTATGTTCTTATCAACTTATAGCAAGCTTTTGCTGTGTTTTGTTTTTGATTGCCTGGTTATTTTCTAAATGGTCTCATCTGCAGTCAAATACTTGGGCAAAGACATAAAATCTCCTAGGCCTTATCAGCACCTGATGCCACTATGATTGGGATACAAAGCCTACCTTCAAAGAACCCCACAAAATAAAACTCTGCTGCAGATACAGTTATGACTGTAGCTAAATAACACTGACAAAATGTTAATAATATGTACAAAATGTAATTACAAAAATTTAATAATTTTTACTGTTAGCATGTGCTAGTGCTACTAACAATTACTGGGTTTTATGACCTTTTCAGGTGTTTCCCTTTCAGAAGGATTTTTTTAAAAATCAGAATCACTAATCTACATCTTAAAGCATAGCCAGTACAGTGAGTGACCTGGGTCAGCTACGTATATATGCATTAATATACATATATAGATGTTGTTCCAATAAAACAAGAAAGATCTTAATGTAATACAAAGTTTCTGCCCAAGTAATGGCATAAACCACAGCACAGACTATTTCCTGCTATCATCAACTCATTGGTATAGTAACAGTGCATTATTCAAGGCTGAGTACTGTCCAACTTACTTGAATTGTGACACCTCTTCCCCCTTCAAAGTCATTTGAAGCTCTATACAAAGTTACATTGTATTTTCAAAATAATTTTACCTTATCTATTTGGTCAGGAGTTGAGAATGCATTTATGGTAAGGATGGCCATGTTTTTACAAACCTAATTCAACTGTTTAGTCAGCTAAAGCAAATGCTTCAGTAGAAATACTACCATTTTTTTTTCCAGTGCAGATAAAATATTCATAAGTGATTAGATACTTAAACACTCTGTTATAATGCATTCTGAGAGCTTTGGCCCTGAACCTTGTCAGCTTTTTAAAAGCATCTGAGTAGTTTAATCAAAATAATAGTTTAATTAATAGTTTAATCAAAAAGTTTAATCAAAAGAGAGAACAAAAGCAGTTACTTAGACATTTGCATACATGTACTAAAGTCTACAATGCTGAGTCACAGTATAGGATACATCTGGTGTCACTTACCTCCAGTAATGAAGCTCAAATCCTTCACACTTTTCCTTGCATTTTAAGCACGGGGCACCAAATCCTTCCTCGTGGCCCAAGCCCATCTGTGTACAGAGCAAGATGACTACAGTCAGCTTCACGAATAATACTGTATGAATGATTTTACTGTTGCATTTATAATCTGCAATCTACAGTTAAAGCAAAAGGTTAAGCATTTGATTAAGTTGACATCAGGACAGCATTTTGGGGTCCACTTGCCTTCCTATTGTATCTACATAACTAACAGTGTTCCCCCCCACCAGCCTGTTCACAGAGTTGAGCTAGCAGGCAGAGCTAGCCTTAGCCAAAACCAGGTATTTTTCTGGTGACTTGTCTCCCCAGCCCAGCTTCTACAAGCATCACACAAGGGAAGAAACAGATTATTTGCAGCCCTTCCTTAGGTTTGAAGCTGTGAAACTGCAGTGAGTGAGGCCAGAAGACTTTAGTCAAAGGACATTTAATCCAGGTGTCAAGACAAAGTGATTTACACTATATGACTCAATAAAATAAAGGAGATGAAGAAATAAACAGACCTCACATTTACACTTATTTGGGAATAAAGGTAACAACTAAGCATTTAGTCTAATATAACAGCCACTCAAAGTTTGAGGTGAAAAACAGACATGAAGCACCATAACTTATGCATTCATATAAGACAGTAAATTTAAAATGTAACATTCCAGCTCTTTAAACCTTTGGGAAACATTGCTCTTAAATCAGACAGATGAAGGATCACAGAACTGTGGCTACAGCAGGGTATGCAGCCTCATGCCCAACATGCAGAGAGGAATCCATCCCTACACTCCCGCCCACCGCTCCAGCAGCACAAGGAGCGCTCCCAGCTTTGTGGGTAGACACTGTGGGAGGGATTGTCATTGTGAAGGAGACAGCTCACCTATAGTTAAGCTTTTACCACAAATGGAAACTGAGCTAAAGCTGACAAGTTCTGGTACTAATCTTAGTTCTGGCAACATTAACACAATGCCAAAGTTGATTAGATGTTGTGATACAGTTTTATTATTAAGTTTGCCATTTACTCTGAGAAATCGTACTACTATTATTGTACGTACAAGGATGTAAACAGCTCAATTTTCAACTTGTCTCTGTCCAAAATGAAGGAACAGATTATTCACAAAGCACTTGATTAATGCAGAACACATGGTAAGATGCAGGGAATACAACATTTTCAGTTATTTTATAATTTAAAGAATCAGTGCCTTTACAGTCATTAGACATCCCTGAGGAAATTACAAAGCTTGCCTGCAGATTGTGGTCTATTTAGAGGAAAGCGATACTTTAGCAGCTATTAAGCTACTGCTTGCAACTGTAGGGATGGACTGAGGGAAATAAAATTATTTCTTTCATATCTGCAAGATGAAGTACAAGCCCACTGTGATCTTGGTGACATCTTCATCAACTTAAGGGCTCAAGAAGTTCACATACTATAGGTGCTAACCTGAAGCCTACCAGAAGATGTGCCAAATCAACATAACTTTAAAGATTAAGTTCTCCGTCAGCTACACTTTTGTCTAAACTAACAGATAATAAATGTTTGCCTTCACTGAAGATGGGCATTTACAGGGGTCTTATCTGGAATCCAGAGCTCCCCATAAGAATACTGTACCTCATGCACACAGGCACACACCACAAGACAACTACACTCTCTTGTCAAGTCACACTCAATTAGAACAAAATGTTGGCCAGGATGTTCTCTA